GATCAGGAGAATCCTCAGGTTTTGATAAATCAGGTTGCTGGTAATACAAGACGTATCCTTTTGGTTTTAATTCCTCTTCAATTAAGTAATGAAGTATTGTCCATGGACCTGAATTATCTTTTAGACGTCTATCTTCACGACTTATGAATTGCTTTAATTTTGTATTACTGCAAATTTCACGGCTATTTGATAGTGCATTATCCAATTCCTCTTTTTTAGCACTATTTAATGAAACCAATAACTTGCTTTTAATTCCTTTCATTGTTTGATGATCAGCATAACGACTAACAATAATTTTATCTCGAACTTCACGCGTTAAATTAATCCTTAAGATTTTTGGAACATTATTTATTATATTAGTAGGAAGGTGTGCACCTTCTATTTTAATTCGAAGTGGATGGCTTGAATTAAGGTAAGATAATTGTGAAAATGAGTGAACACGAACTGAACAACGGTGCATATCATTCCCATTTCGTAAATTATTATTTAGGTTGTAGTTTTGACAGCTCAGCAAACATTTTCCAATACCTCCACACTTATGTTGACAATGATTTCCATCACCTGCACAATACATAATCCATGACCAACATAATTTATCTTTTTTAAGGCCGGTTTGAATTTCCTGCACATATTCACGACCTTTATCTGTAAGTCTTATAATATCATCAATGCGATTAGTAGATTTCTTATTTCCAGCAACTTCCCACTCTAAAAAATCAGCAGCGCCCTCAACACGACAAAGTGTTATTAATCCTTCTTTAATTAGTTGTGGAGTTTGCAAACGGCTTTGAGACTTCAAGCGGGTATTCTTTAAGAGAGGATGATGCAATATATATGATTCTGCTATACGACCAAAAGGAACAGAAACAGTATTATTTTCATTAAAAATTATTTCATTTTCCAAAGTCATTATTACGGCTATTCCTTGATTAATATATAGCAATATAAGGGGCAGTGTAAAGGACAGTGCAAGCGACGATGTAAGCAACGATATAAGCGACGATATAAGTGACGATGTAAGTGACAGTGTCAGTGACAGTGCAATAATCAGTGTAAGCAAGAATACAAGTAACAGTGTGAATAGAATACACTTTATTAAAAATAATCGTACGCTTGAAAAAAATTGATTTTTTTTTTGATTTATATAAGAAAAAAAAAATCGATTTTTTTTTTTAATAATCGATCGATCGACAAATATGCTACGTTATACTATGCAAGATGCCTATGTGATGCTTTTTGAATAAAAAAGTATATTACGTATCACGTCAGTTAATAAATAGTATTTTAAAAATAGGTTTATATTATTTGTCACTCAGTGCCCTGCATAGTACTTAGGGAACCTGGCATGGTGTGGTGCCTATCGCTATTGGCATGCCAGTTAATAGATAAAAACATAGTACAAAGTGGCATAGGCATGCCATTTGGCATGCCAGGTTTCCTAATAGTACTACGT